TCTTGTCAATACATCATGAGATGCATCACATGAATTTCGTCACATCAGATACTCTGGTACAGATATATACAAAAGGTACTTAAGCTGAAGCCCAAAAATTATTTTATTTTTTCTTGCATTTGCCAATGGTAAGCATTATGTAGATTGCTTCCGCTACCTTGATATTTCCCGTTTAAACTTTGGGGAAATTATCCTATTGCCTAAGATTAAGGAGGCTAGTCGTATTCGGCAATATAGACCGATTTGCCTTCTAAATGTAAGTTTTAAAATTCTTATGAAGGTAGCGACCAACCGGTTGAACAATGTAGCTGACCATGTCGTAAAACCCACTCAAACAACATTTATGCAAGGACGCAACATATTAGATGGAGTGGTCATCCTGCACGAAACTGTTCATGAACTGCACCGGAAAAAGATGAACGGTGTCATTCTTAAAATTGATTTTGAGAAAGCCTACGACAAAGTTAAGTGGCCCTTTTTATTGCAAACCTTGCGCATGAAGGGGTTTTCACAAAAATGGTGTCGCTGGGTAGAGAGTTTTGTATCTGGAGGTAGTGTGGCCATAAAAGTTAACGATGACGTTGGCAACTATTTTCAGACAAGAAAGGGGCTTCGTCAAGGCGACCCCGCATCTCCTATTCTGTTTAACATTGTGGCTGACATGCTAGCTACCCTTGTTGAGCGGGCTAAGCTGGATGGTCAAATTATTGGGGTCATTCCACACTTGGTAGAAGATGGTCTATCCATCCTACAATATGCGGATGACACGATACTTTTTATGGATCATGATTTAGATAAGTCAAGAAATCTTAAACTGCTCTTATGTGCTTTTGAGGAACTTTCTGGTCTCAAAATTAATTTTCATAAGAGCGAACTTTTTTGCTTTGGCGAGGCTGCAGAATCAGCACCCGAGTATGCCGACATTTTTGGATGCCAGCTTGGGCAATTTCTGATTCGGTATCTGGGTATCCCCATACACTATCGGCGTCTAACTATTGCTGAGTGGAGGCATGTGGAAGAGAGACTTGAGAAACGTTTAGCCAGTTGGAAGACCAAACTCTTGTTGTATGGGGGGCGATTGATCTTGATCAATTCTGTCCTAAGCAACATGGTTTCATATATGTTGTCCTTCTTCCACCTGCCGAAAGGGGTTCTACAGCGGCTCGATTACTTTAGATCCAGATTTTTTTGGCAGTGTGATAACGAAACTAAGAAATATCGACTGGCTAGGTGGAGCGTATTATGCAGACCTAAAAGTCAAGGGGGCCTGGGAATCCAAGACCTTGAGATTAAAAACACCGCTCTTATCAGCAAGTGGGTTTATAAACTACTCACTGAGAATGGAGTATGGCAGGAAATCATTCGCAACAAGTATGTGGGATCCAATGCCATTTCTCAAATTTATTGGAAACCTAGGGATTCACATTTTTGGAGTGGTGTCATGAAGGCCAAGGAATTCTTTTTCCAATTTGGGACCTTCTCGGTTAGGGACGGTTCTCAGGTTCGTTTCTGGGAAGATACCTGGCTAGGGAACAACTCACTAATGGTGCAATATCCGAATTTGTATAGGATTGTTAGACATAAATTTGTCACGATCAAACAAGTCTTAGGACAAGAAAACCCCGATATTTCTTTTCGTAGGGATCTTTTGGGAACTCGTCTGCCAGCATGGAATGAATTACTCACTCGCCTGGATGACATTCAACTGTCAGATGAGCCGAACACTTTTCGATGGAACTTGCATCAGAATGGCAAATTTTCGGTCAAATCCATGTATGATGCAATGGTACATTGTGATGCTCCGGTAGATAACAGGAAATTGTGGAAGCTAAAAATTCCTCTAAGAGTGAAGATTTTCCTCTGGTTTCTAAACAAAGGAGTCATTCTAACTAGAGATAATCTGGCATGACGAAACTGGCATGGGCCCAAGTCATGTGTCTTTTGTCAACATGATGAGTCTATCAAACACTTGTTTTTTGAGTGCAAGTTTTGGGCCGTGGTCCAGGTAGCTTCGAATTTATACCCACCACGTACTGCACGGAATATGTTCGGCAACTGGTTGCGGGGTATTGATAAACAATTTCCTGCACATATTCTTGTGGGAGCGGCGGCCTTATGCTGGGCAATGTGGCTTACCAGGAATGGTGTGGTTTTTAACAGCAAAAGTGTCTCATCTCCTATGCAGGTTATTCATGCTTGTACATGATCGCTCCGTACGTGGTCTATCCTGCAGAAGCCGGAGGACAGGGACCTTTTTATGATGGCGTCTACCCGGCTAGAGCGTACGGCCAGGGAGGTTTTCTACCCCCATGGATGGCAGTGTGATTTACGGATAGGATCTACCGCACCTTAGGCTGCACACGATTTATTGCTTGGTATTGTATCAAATTATTTTATTTTTAGGGTGCTCTGGACGTTTTGGCTGTGTGCATCTAGCTATGCAGAGGCCGGGCTTTCTTTCAATATGATTGTATCACCTCGATATATCTATTTAATGAAAAGTCCTTTATCGAAAAAAATATTTCCCTCGGGACAAGCAAGAGGAAGAGACTGCAGTATCAAAACATCCAGCTGATGTCGGGGATGAGAATGGTGAAACTGTAATAGATGAAAGGAAAATAAGAATAAGACCTTTGCCTGCTGGTGCAGCAGATAGAACAGTGGCTGCAGCTCCTCTTGACCTTCCTCTTTTTTTTTAAAAAAGGAGGAAACACCCCCGGCCTCTGCATCTGGGAGATGCATGCGGCCATATTATTTATTATTCACAAAGACCTTACAAAGAAATACAACAGTAAGCCCGAGGCCACCATCTAGACGACATATATCGCTACTCTTATCCTCTTGATGAAGGGGTGCCGAATGTCCGGGCCAAATACCAAATAGACATCGCACAAAAGCCTAACATCTAACGTTGGATGCCCATCCAAGCCACATAGGCGGGACTGGGTAACACTCTGGTCCGGCGCACTCTCAGTGAGTACCACACGCACACGCTGCAAAGGACCGTCACCTCCGTCTTCCCTCGGTCCATCCTCAAAGCATGTATTGACGCATTGACCTTGTCAAGCCTCTTTGCCATCGACGCCACCACGACGCGAGACAACGTCGACCTCCTGCGCGTGTCCATCGCCACACATCTGACGCCAAGTCTCCACTGCTCCATGCTGCTGAGAACCGCCGCCATGAATATGTAGAAATAAACACCGCTCCACCGAAGAAGCTATCCGCTGGTCCCTCGAGTCCGAGTGCCTCTCCAAGAATGCCGCCCCCAAGGGGGTAACGACACATGAATGCCGCTGTCATCCGATCAGCTGATTTAGGGTTTCCCCCGAAGGTATTGGGTGTGGGGTTGGGAGCTTCACCTCGATGATGCCTTCATGAAGGAAACGATGATAAGGGCATTGTCATCACCGGCTTTGGCCAACGACCGAAGACCAAGTTATCACCCGGATTCGTCCCAAGAAATCCACCCGACAACCTATGCACTGTCTCGACCGCCTTCAAAGCCCCACATCTAGCCGCCTAGATCCGGCGACCAACCGCAACAACAGTGCCACTGTAGGAGCCCTGGCGCACCGGCCACTGCCTGAGTGTGCCACCACTGGAGCCTGGGAGGAGGGCTCTCACCCCACCTCGCCAAACCGCGAGAGCCGCCGAGATGATCCCGCACGCTCATCGTCGTCTCTGATCTGAACCAATCCACGGCAAAACCATGAGATCGGCGATGCAGATCCGCCTTGGATAAGGACAGCACCACGCCATGCCGCCACGGGAAGCCCGAGCTTCACCCGCCGCCACCTTCCAGGGCCGCCGCTCCGGGATCCAGCCGCCGCCGACAGGTCGAGACGCCGGCCACCGCGACCATGGCCGCCATGACCCTGCGAGCCCATCGAACGGCCGGTGCAACCAGGTCTTCCTCGGAGCCTAGCAGCTCCGCCGCACCTGCCCAGCACTACGCCACCGCCTTGCGCCGTCGCCTAGACGCGCCACCGCGACGCGGATCGGGGGAAAGCGCCCCGGCGCCATGGGTGATCCGCCTCACCTGATCTGGCGCGGGAGGGAAGAGAGCCTCCGCCGCCGCCATCCGCCGCTTGGGGCTTCACCCGGCGACCTCCTCTAGCGGCGGCAGAGGGGAGGGGGAGGATGGACGTGCCCGGCGGCGGGGGCTAGGGTTTCCACCCGAGCCGCTCTAGCGGGAGGGCGACGTGGGGGCTAGCCACGAAGGTTACATCAAAGAAGTTTAACATCTTCCTAGACTCTTCAATCACTGGTAGAAAAACACATACAATGTATGCAATAGGTAGATTTGCAATTCATATGTGGTAATCTGAAATTCTGAATTCTAGCTATGTGCTGATGCTGATTCATAACTTAGGGCATTATGCATCATTGTTGGTCTTAGTCAAACAGCTTAAAATTGACCTGTTCATCTTACTTTGTGCAGAATGACTTGCCTCTTTTTTTTTATTGAAAAACTATCTTTAGCTTGGCCGAAGTGTTGGGTTTTCTGTGCTCTCTGCGTTTCTTAACATTAATTCTTATGTGCATTGGCAGTAAG